TACTGCGATGGAAACTGCTTTCGATTCTTAAGTCTACCGTGATTGCCGAGGTCGTGTAAGGGTCTACGGGAAGCTGTCTTCAGAGTTCTTCATGACTAGCAAGGTTGGCCAGAGTTGTCCTATATCTCTTTCTTCTTTGACTTAAAATGCAGTGGTTGAGCAGTTCACTTACCCCGGTAGCTGTGTCACCTCTAGTGGTCTAGTGGGGAAGTTGCTTCGCCTATTGACCAGCTCTTATGGCTTTCCAGGAACTCAACCAGCTATGGAGAGGGCGAAACATCGGCCTATCAGTAAAAGGTAGGGTGTATAATGCAGCGATAATGCTGTTGCTTCTGCATGGATCTGAGACCTGGCCAGTTCATGAAGAAGGGACTAAACGCTTGGCCATGTTTGATGATCGGTGCTTGCAGAGTATTGCTGATATCTGGCGGGAACACCGAGTGAGCAATGTTGAGACTTTCCAGTAAATGTTTGGCAAGAAGTCTTCTGATGTCTCACTCCAGCGTTTGCTAAATCTTGACCGCTTATGTTGACTAGGTCATGTCCTTCGTATGCTCGTTGACCGACTTCCTCCGTGTGCTTTATACGCCGCGACTGCACCAAGTTTGATGAAACCGCCAGATGGGCAATCCATGACCTTACCTACGAGTATGAAAGAAAGAAGAAAGAAAGGCTTCAGCAATACCGACGCTTCGCCACCGCGCATCCACCACCGGTCGCACGCGGGCTAAGGATACTGCGAGGGTCGCCCAACCCCTACTCAGGCTCGAACCCGCGCCGTTAGATTAGAAGACAAACTAGTTACCTTTAGGCTACGGGTCGGTTTAGTAATTTGGTCAGACAAACCCTGCCATCTTCGTGGATGGGGTCTCAGGATAGTCCAAACCAATGGTTAGAGATGGTATCAGACATGGCGCAGTCACGCAGTCAGTGGCGTTCCTGCATTTAGCTGTTACTTTTCATTCCATCCCAACTAGTTTAGCACACTTCTTTTTTGACTCCATTTACTTTGTACTCCATTTGTGTTCAAACTCATTTTAGCCGTTGTTATTTATTATTATCCCGGTAACGTGAGTCCTGGCAGTTGAATCCCCTGCACTTTTGTCTCTGGATCATAGTTGTTCAACTGAACTAAACACCTGTTTCCAGTTAGACCACCGCAAGTACTGCATGTTTGCCATGCCCTCGGTATCTCTCATTTCTAGCTATGGTTGCAGGGCTGTTGCCTTCGCAACGTAATCGGTCTACGCTCCTCTCTGATCTACTATATTGCAGTTACACTTAGACATTTTGGGAGCTATTTCCACTGGATTGGTCAGTAGTAAATGGTCAGAGAACCTTGGTCTCCTGGCCTTCCGTGCTGGTGGTGAGACTAAGTTGACACTCACATTTGTAAAATCCACTCACACTGAGGACCCTCTGATGCTGTCTTACGGTCAGACCTTTAAACCAAATTCTTTGGTGTAGCTCCACACTCATTCTTCCGTCCAAGTTTGGGTACTCTCGAACCATCTCACTCGCAACAGAACGAGCTCATGGTGATGCGATGGTTTTCGTGCCCCACCAATCCATTGAGCTCTGTTGAATGGTGATCTTGGCACTTTCAGAGCCACCCATATTCCATATGGGTGTCTCCTTACCCCATTAAAACTTCCTGTAGCACGGTGTCAAAATATCGCTTCTTCGCAGTCAGATTTCTTGAGCTAAATGCTTTATTTTAGAGGCTTAATTGTCCTCCTGTCTAGGCGTGGGCAGCCTGACAGTATCCTATCCACGCAATAACATGCAAATCTCACAAGATTTCCTGATACTCTGGCCATTGCAGAGGATAAGTGAGTAAGTGCTCGCTGAACGCAGTTATGGGTCATTGCTCGGATATCCGCCAAACCTTTTTTGCATCCGGCATGTACTCATGTTGCGAATCAAATTACTAGACTTGACATTGAGTCTGTACGAAGTCCATAGCATTTCTGGATGCTCGCCAATGCTTTCCGACTGGAAGCGAACACACCGAGACTCACAAAGACCTCATAGCACGACCCTATGCTAACCGGAGGAGAGACCGCGTATCCTGGTGTTCTCGTGCATCGGAGATGGAGATAGCTGCTGCCCTTAGTAACCGTCGAAAGTTATTCCGTCTGGTACGGGAAACGGGCAGCAGGAGACCTGGTGTTAGTGAGACTATATGTGACGTGAGTAAACAGCCTATTCATAGCTTGTGAAAACGCTTAGAGCCTTGAGCTGAGCACTTTGAAAGGCAATTTAATAGGTCGGAATTGTCAGATTTCTCACTGACCATTGATCACTCTGGTCCCTGGATCCGACTTTTCGCCTAGTAATCGAGCGGATCTGACTGCTGAAATCGAACAAGGCCGCGAGACCAATGATCTTCCTCCAGCCCTCTTCAAATTCGGGGGACCTGCGCTTGTGGATGATTTGTACAAGTTGCTACTGATGCTGTGGTAGTCAGATACTGCCCCAACGGACTGGAGCCGTTCCGTTATTGTCCCGATCTTTAAGGGAGATTCATTTTCGGATTGCGGCAACCATAGAGGGTTCATTATGATCTCTATCACCTCTAAGTTACCTGACTGCCGTTATCCATAGAACGACACCCGCTGACAGTGAGTCGGGTCTCTTCTACCTCAAGTCCGTATTGATCACATCTTCACATTACGTCAAATGTCGGAGCACCGCCACTTTTATAGGTGACCCACTGTAGTCAAGATCTTCGAGATCAGTGCCCTTTGATTCGGGAAATCGACGTGCTCTTTGACGCTGCCTGATCAGGAAAGATGTGCCCGGGAAATATGAAAATGTCACAAGAGCACAGTTCGGCCAGAGCGTGGGCTCGCAGCAAGCTGTCCACTCCTTCCCATACCTCCAGCGGTGTGTCGCAAAATACCTGCTGTCACCTTTCCTTTTGAAGTTCGCGATGGACCTAAAATGTGTGCAGCTGTTTCCAGGTGGTCAGCTTCTTGACTTGGAGCGCATTGACGACGTTGCCGTTAGCTGTCACAGCTCCAAAACGTGCCAAGCAGCTTTAGTCACATTAACTTCGACTGTCGGTCAGACCCTTTAAATGCAAACTCCTCTAAGCTTGCAGGTACCCAACCCGGGCACTGACTTTTAGTGCTGGTGGTCAGTTAGTAATCGTCCAGAAATCCAGGTATCTCGACAACCATAGTAGCGTCCTTGAAATAAATAAGGTCAACAACCTTATAGCAAATGCTCAAGGTGCTTTCGCCAATCTCTGCGTATTTCGCCGGCGTGATATCACTGTCGCCCTGAAGGGCAGAGTTTACAATAAAGCCGTGCGTTTAACCCTACTGTACAGTTGTGAAACTTAGCAATTCAGACCGACAGACATAAGGAAGCTCTTTGCGTTCGACCATCGATGTCTTCGCATTTTAGCTCGTGTCTGGTGGGAACACTGAGGGTTCGCCGTCGTGTATTTGGTGCAGGAAGAGCGAGGGAACCGGTCAACACCGTTATATCACGCACCAGGCTCCGATGGCTGGGCCACATGTTACACATGCTAGCCCACCGACTGCCGTGAGGTGCATTGCTTGCGCGACCGGAGTGTGGACGGAGGAATAGGAGATCAAGCGAAATCCTGGTCAAGAGAAACGAAGTCCCTCACTTCCAACTTGGCGTCGGTTTGGGCTTCGCGACTGCCGGACTAAGGTTCGAAGGACAATGGACACGTTTGTTTGGATACGCTTGTCGCCATGGCGAATAGACAGCCTCAATGGCGTTTGTGTTTTGGGTTTTTTGTCCCTTCCCCTGTCCCTTAGCTTCACCCTTCAACTCCATGCCATGTATGATATGACACTGAGCGTTTTATTGCTGATTCTTTGCTTTTTTGCGTTCTTTAATGTTTAGTACCTCATTTTTTCTATTTTGTGTATTGCGGTACAATAGCTTCGGTGTTCCTTAGTTTTAGGTAACGTGCAGTATGTGTGTATGTCAGTCTGCGTTCAGTCATCACTTTTTCCAAAGACGTCTGCCCCCATCATGCATCTGCCTTCACGCAGCTTGATTCGACTGTCCTTATCCACCGCATGGAGCATGCTCGTATTCTTTCTTGACCTAATAGCTGCCTGTACTTTGATTGACCATGCTTGTATAAGTCGATGTCTGAATTTGATAGGTGTCCGAAACATGTCTCTCCATACATAAGTCCTTATACATTGACCCAGGCGACCCAGGTATCCAGAATCCCCCCCCCTATTTAGCCGTGACATGTAGATTGCGTCAGCGTTTCTCCGTATCTCCATTTCTTTCCACCTTTGCAATTGAAACGACTGCAGTTCTTTTTCTCTTTGCATTACCTGTTGGACTGAAGTTCTGATTCATCACCGACTATCAAGCCTTAGAGTAAGCGGACGACATTCATGCCTTTGAAATGGGGACTAGCTGCTGTGCAAGCACTACTGTGTAAACACTTGCTTTACACCTTCATTGTGCTAGAAACTCACAGGACTGGACCGATTCTTCATCAATTGTCGCTACTGATGAACCGCTCAAACTGGTCCATTCGTTTATTCTTCTGGCAAGCTGCATTCTCTCTAACGATCAACTCACCGGAGAGTATGATACACCTGTTGCTTAGGCTCTTGTGGCTTTCGTGTAAGCGCTACTACGTAGCTAATTTGTCATCTTCGTATCGAATGCTTAGGATATGATTTAATACTAAAGACGTTATCTTCAACTGTATCTGTTGTTTGTTCTCAAAGCGGCAGGTGCACTCGCGTGATGTGGTTCACAATTTCAATCCTTTGTTTGATTTCACTTTGTGATCTACTTTTTCGCATGAGGCTGTTGAGATATCCCCTCTTCTCATACGGGGTTCTGTTTTCGTCGGATGAACGGCCCATCGTTTGGTGCAATACATTTTGATCTCCTCACTCCAATTTCCCAGCAGCATCATCGGATTGGTTGCTCAACTCGTTGGCCAATTTAACATCAGTGACAGACTCTCTGGCGGACAAAGTTTGATGCCTTCAACGATTCCCGACAATCCTACATGTCTAATTTCAGAAGATCCATTTTTATGTGAGCTTCCCTTTTCTGTCGTTTGTTGCTTTTTGTATGGATTTTTTTCTTGATGCGGTTGGTAAATATGTGAGACGCAAAGTCCGCCGGCGATAATCTTCTCAGCATGCGTCTTAATTTTCGGTTCGAAACTATTCTTCATTTGTTAGCTCAGCGCATGCTTAAACTCATATCACGGCATGGGTTGTCAATCTCACATTCGTCCCCCCCCCCCATACCCACTCCACCTCCGTCTTATGCAACATTAGTTGTTCTACTAACTTTCCAAGCACTCATTTAACCTGCTCAACCTAGTCACTTTGACTTTATCACTGATCACCTAATGATCCCCATTCCTTATTTATCAGATAGTTTTTAACCAGATATACAGACATTCATCCACCTCGGCTTTTATCACTTCACTCGTTTCTCTATCAGAACCGATGAACTTATCTAAATCGAACTTAATTATCTAGGTAACATATCTAGTAACATTTCACTAATCTCACACATTGTGTTGCATTTTCCTTTACGGATTACCGGACAATTTTCGCCTCTTACTATCTAATACCTTGAGCAACATCTCTTTTCACCTCACCTTCAGCTCCTTTTAAACCTCTATTATCTTCTGCTCTGAAGGCAAATGGTAAACTTTTCTTCTCCACCCCGATGCTTTGGAAGCCAGACGGGAACAGTTCGAGCGTTCGGTCCGGTGAGTTACCTGCTATTTCTTCAGTTTACTCTGGTTTTATTGTACTTGTGATGAACAAACGTGGCGCGCGTGGAAACGCTGCAGTACTGCAGATCGTTACATCAGACAGATAATCAGAAGTCACTCATCACTTATCATGTATGCGGATGAAGCGGACTTTACTGGGTGCTTAAATTTGTTACCGTGCGACTCTTACGGTTGGTGCCACTCATGAGGCAGAATACACTTTTTCTGCTTCCTGCCATTCAGGTACTTGGTTTTCTGCTATATATATATATATATATATATATATATATATATATATATATATATATAACCCTTGGCCAGTGAACAGCTGACAGAGTGCCACAGCACATGCATACACATGGGAAACGACAAGCAGCGAACAAAGAGTGAAGAAACAGCAATCAGGGGAAAGGTGTCTCGCAACGCCTTAGCCATTGGTTTCGGTTCCGTGTCATGCCCGATAGCGTATCCAACCAAGTGTGTTCAATGTTCGTGGGTCCCCAACCTGAGAATCCGAAACGCCCCACCGTGGCTAACTGCAATGTTATCGTCTTGACTCCACGAACCCAGATTGCATGTTGGCCGACTCAGTCGCTTCCAACCAACGCCGGCGTATGCAAACAAAACGCGACGGGGCAACCGATGAGCGGGCATACGGAGGACGTTCCCAAGCCACCGGGGCGCATACAAGGAAATTATTCCGCTTAGTGGTCGGCGGAGACTGTCTAGCTTGAAGATCCGACGTCGAACTTCGTCATTACTAATGCGTTGCTGCCAGCGATGCTCCGGAGACAACGGTGGTCAAAAACAGTCTTTGGACATCGTTCGATCGAACAGGTCAGGTCTCGCAGCCATACAGGAGCGCTGCTCGTACTGTAGCTTTGTAGATTCGAGCTTTTAGAGAAAGACCGAGATCATGCCGGCGCCAGAGATGTCGGAGATTAGCAAAAGCTACTCTGGCTTTGTTGATGCGCAATGGGATCTCATCCGTCAATCCATTCACACTGAGTTGAGCGGACTTGTGGAGCAGTTCCAAAGGAGAGCCCGAGTGGGTAAAGGTAGGAGCAGTTTTTAACCATTTCTAGAGGAAGACTTTGCACTTGGAAGAGGTGAAAAGCATGTCGAGCTATGATACAAACATCTCCAACTTGCACAGCCTCTTCTGGGTAGCATGCGATCAGTCACAGGTTAAGGCGATATCGTCAGCATACTCCAAGTCACTGAACTGATCACCCGGAAGTAACTCGATACCACTGGGCCTACATTTTCCTAGAGCTCTCTCTAAGATGTCATCCATAGCGAAGTTGAACAAGAATGCTGATGCGAGTCACCCCTCTCTCACGTTATTGGTGATACTAAAGTTTGGCGAAAGTCCGCCGTACACCCTCACCCGGCCCGGGATTCGAGAATAAATGCTTAGAGTATGTCATATACTTCACGGGCACTCCAAAGAGCAGCTCTGTCAACTGAATCAAATGCTGCACGTATATCCAGGAAGCAAACGGTGGTAGGACGGCTGAAAGCACTGTGATGCTCAAACGTCTAGAGAATCGTAAAGTGGTGATCAATACAGCCCCGACCTGAACGAAACCCAGCCTGTTCTTCACGTATGTGCCGTTCGCGTACTCAATTGTGCCTCAGTAAAAGCAGGGAAGCTAACACTTTGGAGGCAACGCATAAAAGGCTGATGTCTCGGTAGTTGACGCAGTCCGTTCGGTCACGTCTTTTTGAAAATTAGCATGATGTCCGCTTGGCCCCATTCGGATGGGATGATTTCTGTGGTCCAGATCTCTTGAAGAAGGCTATTCAATTCATAAAAAAGACGAGGCCCCATCCTTAAAAGGAGCCGGAAGCAGTTCGTCGGGGCAGGGAGATTTATTGCGTTTCAGAAATCGAAGCTCATAAGCATGCTCGGCGTCGGATGGCGGAGAAGTGCTTACACATCACGGAACGCCGTGGATAGGAGAAAGCCAACTGGAGAGCAATGATGACCAGTTGAACTGCTGTTCGAATTGCTCTGCCCAACTTAAAAATCGGTGCTGGTGATTTGTTTCACCGCCGGATTCACATATCACTTCGCTTACAGTTGGTTTCTTGCCATCAATAGATCGGATAAGGGAGAAGAGTCTGCGGAAGTTCCCTGAAGATGCAGCATGTTCCATCCCGGAGATACGCTGCGTCCGCCAAGCTTCGCGATCTTTCCTTAGCAGCTGTTTGAGCTCGGCGTTGGCAGCTCTACGTAATGGGTTATACTTAGCATCAGCAGGAATTGTCCGGCGGTCTTCCATCAGTTGAAGAGATCAAGCGGAAATCCATCAGTTGAAGGTGTGCTTAGTGAAACCGCAGATGCCCCTGGCGGACTTATGTATGTCACTCCGGATGTGTCCAATGCGCTTCAACACCTGGGAGTAAAGGACTCTTCAGGCTAGAAGCTAAAAAGTTGTGAAAGACGCGGAGAATATTTAGAGCGACAAGTTTGGCTACGTCGAGTCGTTTTCCACGACGCTGTTGGGTGCCACCAAAGCATAGGGTAACTTTAACCCACACAAGTGCGTGATCAGAAGTGAGATAAGTACTCCAAATTATTTTTCAGTCCGTTATACAGCGTTGCCAAAGGTAACTGATGGAGATATGGTCAATCTGCGTCCACGGTTGTCCAGGTGAAGGATGTCGCCAGGTGACGCGCTGGCGCCATGTGCGCCGAAAGTTTGTGCTCGAAACGAATACACCGTGATCAGCCCAGAGCTGTACAAGGCGTTCTCCGTTATCCGTCCCTGCGAGTACCATAGCCATGCAGTCCACCGAGGTCGTGTTCGTCAGCATCGCGTCTACCAAAACTTGTGTTTAACTCCCCAGCGACGCGCGTTGTCTGTCATGACCCGGTAACCAAAGAAATAGTGGTTTCGGCTAATAACCCCTTGGTCCCTAGTTGGAGTCCTGCTATCTCCACCTGATACAATCAGGCGGCTAAAAATTATTTTTCATTATATCGTACTAACGCGTAGTGAAGTTAACTGATTATGAGCCAAACGCCCATGTTTGTATGTACGCCACAGTTTCCATGCCGAATTCTCGGCGTGTGTATCAGTGTTTTTCATTGAACCAACGGATATTTGCTACAGTTGAGAAGGACCGTTTGCTTAACTTGGGAATGTGCTCAATGCACTAACAGATAATTCGAGCGGACTTGATCCACATTTACCGTATTTTGACGAGCATGATCGGTCCAAATTTGTCCTGGCTTTTCGTTCCCGCTAAGCTGCCTAATCTCCACGGTCACTTGTTAAAGCTGCACAAATTGTGTTCTGATCGGGTAAGGACGGAAACTCGCTTGTCGCGCCGAGTTATTGGACGTTGGAACTCGCTTCCGGAGCACATCGTTAGGGAATCTGCGGTTGAGAGTTTCGAGCGTTAATTAGATGCTCTTGGGTCGTTGTACCAAACCTTCCCCTTCTCCTAACTAACCTGTATCTTCAGCCTTCTGTTCGTTTTTTCTGTTTCTCTCCCATCTTGGTATTATTATTTATCCGAGCTTCCTTTTTTGTTTTCTTAGCTTACCCTTTACTCTTTCTTACTTTACTTATACCGGCCTAACAGGGACTACTAGACTATAATTGGTTGGACAGGGTGCGATACACTTTTAGTTCCTGTCCTAACAGAATATAAAACCGACCTATTAATTTCCAGCTCAACGATACGCAGCAGAAGGAACATTCACGGGATTCTCCTATCGTTCCGGTCCCAACTGAACTTGAGCTTGAAAGGCATGCGAGCACCATTATCAGCCGTATGCGTATGACGATGTATGGTTCTGAAAAGAAAACACAGGTTGAATCAAGTCCGTGTTTGACGTAGCTCTCTCTCTCTCGCTTTTGAATGATATTCGCATGCCTATTTTCGTGAATCGTTACTGGACCCTCCCAACAGCATTGTAGTCAGAATCGTAGATTTGATGGACAGTATTCCATATTCTGTGACTCAAGTACTTTCTAGGGCCAGTTTCCCGACTCGGTGAAACAAAGATGATAACATGTATTCGATGGTTTTCATGGCCTTCCATAGTTTAGAATCACATTGTTCAGACAACTGCGTATCGTGCTTCACAATCGTGAACAGATCTGCAATACTAAACTGTTTGGCTGTACTTGACAGGATATTGCACTTTTTGGTTGCAAATGATATTTTTCACATGTGACGTCAAGATTCAAGTGCTAATAGATAATCCTCTGTATGGCTTACTGAGTTTCTACACTCGTTTGTATATCCCCGGCAAACAGAAAAGCAGTAATTTGGGTTTTTTGGAATGTATCGTTAAAACAGATGAGGACAAAACACTGCTGAATTATTCAACTTGCTGCCTACTAACCATATATAAGGACAACCGAGAAAGCATTGGCTGTCCACTGGCTATAGATTTTATACCATTTAAGTGTTCTCTGATGATGCATGCTACCAAACGCTTTCTTTGTATCCAAGAACGGGGGGGCTTAACATTCTTACCTTTGTCTGTTTGTCGCACTAATGAACCAACTAGCTTGTCACCGTCCTCTACTGGCTTAGTCACATCATCGTTGGGAATACGCAGAGGGCATCTGACATGAGCAACACTCCGCCGTTTTACCGTTACCACTCCGAGTATCCAGGGACCTCCTTATTCTCCATATTGCTTCCTGCAACTGCAGTAAAAAGCAGGTTCATTTGTTGAAATCTGATCTCACGTTGAACTTCTGCGCGAGTAGGTGCATCCATAGTGACAACTCAGTGTATAGAGCGATCACTTGCCCGCAGTGAGTCTGGTAGTCCTGAGTGATTAAATTGCTTTCCGAGGTGTTCAGACTAAGGCATCAAACATTTTGACAAGTTGTGGATTGGATGTCTACTCTCTTCGCCTTTATTTTCGCTAACACCAGGTTTCCTGCTGCCCGTTCCCCGCATCAGACGTAATAACCTCTGGTAGTTTTCAAGAGCATTGTCTGTTTCCATTTTCGGTGCACAACGAGTCCACTTGGTTTCATGACTTCTTTCAGGATAACAAGCAGTTTCGCCTTGAGATGCTTGGGAGTATCGTTGTGTTCGTTCCCAGCCAGAAGGTACCGGCGAGCGTCCAGAAGTTCCGGAGACTAGAAGCCTGATGTCCGGGCTTACAATCAGATTTTCCACCCCAGAATATACCTGCTGCTCTTTTATTTGAATATTGTGAGGCACCTCTTGACCTATACTGCATTGGCATATAATATCATTTTTGTCGTTCTACACTGGTCGACATTGTATCCCACCTGGTATGTAAAACATCCACTTCCATTAAAAGTAAACTGCAAATTATTGCGTCTTTTACGCTCTCTTATAGGCACACTGTGTTGTCGTTTGCCCAATAATCTTCCTCCAAGCATTCGCGGCAGGCTCATAAAAATAGCCTACAAAGTGTTGATCGTTGTACGAATCCAGAAGGATACCAATTCACAAGTATCAGTTCACCTTTTGCAACTTCCCTTTCGCGTTCTTCCTCCTTTACCTTTACTCCGCTCCTTGCACGTCAACGAGAAAACCGAAGCAGTTTATTCTCACAGTATTGCTCCTACCCGTGCCGACGCGGATAATCCGTTCTGGATTCACAAATCATCCAATGTTTACAACTTCACATCATCACCACTTGGACAAGGTGTTGCCAGCAAGGATAACGTTGGTTCGTCCTCTGATCTGAAAGTGGGTGCCATCGGGTTGACTTGTCTTGGAAACGACAATTTACCGGAAACTGTCGCATCATCGTTTTTATCTACTTCGCATGATAATGTCTCTGTTGACCAGAATGGTTTGAATGCGGACGTTGGAGCCTTGAGTTTACCGAGTTACACGGTTCACCCTGGTAAGACATCACACTCGGTTTTACTTCCATCAAATCTTCACCCATTGCGCTCTCATGTGCACGCGCCTCATCAACATCTCTCATCTCTGCAGTACCATAGTGGATTAATTGCACATTCCCACTGTTTATGTCAGTCGATGCGAGCAGTTGCTCTCGTGGTCACTCATTTTCTCCCTTCACGATGACCTTTAGCCACTCAGTTTGATTTTTGATCAGATAGACACGCCGTGCATCTCCAAATGCCGATTCACTCACGGGCACTCCAGCATCCTTTTCACCTAGAAAATGAAATCATCGTTTAGTGTGTATTACAAACTGACACGAAGAAACAACATTTCAACAGAGTTCTATGAACTCAATTAGTTCGGGTATTCTCATCTGCTAGTATCGTACCGTCCCATCGCGACGCGACTGGACCTCAACGTAGTGCAATGGTTCGCATGTCTCAATGATCCACTGAGCTATGATTGCTGGTGCTTTCAGAATCACTCATACCACATTAGTCAGTGGTTAGATGCCAAACCAGCTCAGTCTCTTGGCCCTCCAGTTTGGTGCTGGAGTAAGGGTGGCTCCTTATTCCATCAAACGGACTCTCTGTAGCCCGGTGCCAAAACCCCGCTCCTTGCAGTGAGGTTTTTGGACTAAAGACTTTGTTCGAGGATCCTAGTCGTTCTCCTGTCTAGGCCCTGGGCCCACGCAATACAACTATGATTTCTCCTTCAAACCATTTCTTGGTTCTCTGACAGTTGCAGAGGATAATCAACGGCGCCCTATCTGCTGCATCAAACAGTATGAATGGGGTTAGGATCCTACTGCTCTTACCTTCCAGCCTTATACTCTTTCTTGCGTATTATCATCTTATCACCCTTTCCAACTTTTCTTGTATTCACCCTGATTTCAACCCCCCATTTCTTCGCCCTCCGCCATTTTGCTTTAATATTCGCTTGTCTTCTAGTTTCGATTCACACTTAATCGCAAGGCGTCGTTCCAGTCCGGTCGACAAGTTCATGTTCTACCAAGCGGACAACGTTACTTCTGTTTCTTTTTGGTCATACTTCACCGTGCGCAGTTTTGCAAATTGGCTATCAGGCAGCACTTACCCGAGTACTAGAGACCCTTTGTTTGAAACTCGCTTGCAAGATTAGGAGCTCTGCGACCCCCAACAAGCGACGTCGGTGGCACTTTCTCATCGCGTTTGTGGGGAGATAAGTAAGCTTCAAATATTCCTCAAGCCATTGTGGGCATTGCTTTTATTCCCCGGATTGAAGCTGCTCTGTTAGACTGAATCCCAATCAACAGCCGGATGTGCGCCGTCACATTGTCTAGCTCGTTCAAAACTTCGTAGTCGCGCAGGGACAAACGGTGTCTGTTTGTCAGTGGGGCCTACGTTCCCACAAACTGTAGCGCTGACTCGGCAAAGGATGGCTTCGATCACCAACTGAGCGATTTCCTTCGTCACAGGAAAAGAACCAATACTGTACTGCTGACCGGCTATCTGAACGTCCAAGTTGTAAAACGGTTCACTGCTGAGCTGCTTCTGGGAGACCAAGCGGTGTAGGCTCCTGTAAGGACAACGATAAGCGGTTGCTACTCCTATGTAGAGTTGCTCGTCTATTTCTCGCGAGCACCAATTTTCGACACAACAATCGCTAAGGAGTGACAATGTCCATCAGCCATGTCACAAATTGATCACATGGTGATCATTTACTGCTGTAGGGGCGGTGTCCACAAGTGTGCACGATTTGGAGCATGCACTCGTTTGTGCTGATCGTAGAGTTCGCTTTGGTGGACGCATGCGGCCACGCTGTGAACACATGGCTATTTACCAACTAGCGAAGCCAGGTGTTCTAAATGAATATCAAAGTAGGGTGGTGTCCAGGTCGAGTAAGCGCTCACTGAGCACAGTGATTGACCATTGGTCGCATATCTGCTAGACGCTATTAGCACCACGCATGTCTTCATGTGGCAAATCAAATTGCCAACCTGAACATAGGGTCTCGACGCATTTTCTAGAACTTCTGAAATCCTCGCCGACATTCCGGCTGGGACGGAACACAATGACACTCAAAAAACTCGGGGTTAAACTGCGTGTTCGCCTGAAGCTAAACCCCGACACCTAGTGATCTCATCGTGCATCGGAGGTGGAAATGGAAATGGCCTCTCTCCTTGGCTATCATCGGAATTTGTTCCGCTAGGTACGCGCAAGCGTCAGAGAGTGACCTGGTGTTCGCGGGAATATATGGGACAAGAGCGGATAGTCTATCCGCATTTTGTCAAAACACTTTGGCCGAACACTTTGAGTAGCATCTAAAACAGCCAGAGTTACCGGCTTCTCTCTCGGTCATTAATCGTCTTCCTTGGGCCGTCGCCTTGGATTCGACGTCAGCGCAGAAATCGAACATGAGATTATCTGTTGAAATTGATTGTGGCCGCAGGAGCAGATAGATTTTCTCTAGACCTTTTTATAATCGACTGACCCTCTTGTGAGCGATTTGCACAACCTATTACTAAAGATGTGGGAGCATGAAACTGTCCCAACCGACTGGAGCTACTTCCCAATTGTCCAGCTTTTTAGGGAGGTTCACGTTCGGAATGCAGCAATCATACACAGATCAGTCTGACCTCGGTTGCCTCTAGGTTACTAGCCTCTGTCGCCCTCATAGACTAACAGGCACCCGTGAAAGCCAGATTCGTAAGGAGCCAGTCGGGTTTGGTCGAAGTTGCGGCTGTACTGATCATTTCTTCGCTTTACATCAGTTGTTGGAACACCGCCATAATTATTGGCGACCCACCGCAGTAGGAATCAGTGGGGCCTACGATTCGGCCCTTTTTAATTGTCTACTTAGAAAAGGTTTGACCTAGAAATGTGTAACTGTCATAAGATCGCTGCATAGTCGCAGTTCGGGCAGATTGAGAGCTTACGGCAAGCTGCTAGCATCCTTCCATATCTCCAGTGGTGTGACGCAAGAATGCCCGCTGTCATCTTTCCTATCTAAGTTCGCCATCGACTTACCAGGTGCGGAGCTGCTTACTTATTATTATTATTATACACATCAGCTAGAGGTGGGAAACACCTCAGCTACTGTGCCGCAATACATAAAGGAAAAGGAAAATAAATACAACAGTTGGCATGCCAGCTGAGCTATCAGCAACGGATAGGCATCCTTCCGGTAAGCTACCAGCAGGCTACTAGGCAAAAAGGAAAATTATTACGTTTTACGCTACGAAATGAGATCATGGGTGGAGGGGAGGCTAAAAGGGATGGGGAGGGACAAAGAAACTCACAGCACAAACGCCACTGAGGTCGTCTCCTTGCCATATCAGCAAGTGTATCCAGCCAAACGTGTTCACCGTCTTTTGGACCCAAACCAGGGAGCCTAGACGCTCCAACTGAGGCCAGCTCCGAAGTGAGGGCCTTCATTCGTCTGGACCAAGTCATCGCTTGGCTACCCCTCGTCTTCCATCCACATCCCCGGTGAGCAAACAACGCACGTCGTGGAAGCCGGTGGGCTGGCATGCGCAACACGTGGCCCAACCGTCGGAGCCTGGTACGTGAACTGACGGTGCTGAGCGGTTCAGTTCCTTTTTCTGTGCCGTAAACAATTCGTCGGACACGCTCGTTACTCTCGCGGTGTTCCCACCAGATGTGAGTCAAACTGCGAAGGCACCGATGCTTGCACGTAACTAGCCTCTTTATGTCCGCCGATCTTAGGGGCCAGGATTCGCAACCGTACACTAAGGTTGAACGTACCGCTGCATTGTACACCCTACCCTTCAGGGCGAGAGTAATGTCGCGCCGCCGCCATAGGTGGCGAAGGTTAGCGAAAGCACTTCGAGGTTTTGCTATACGGTTCGTGATCTCGTCTTCGATCCCAAAGGCTCTCATAGAACTTCCCAGGTAGTTGAATTTCCGAACGACTTCTAGCTGATCCCCACTGAGGGTCAGTGCAGGAGGCGATCCGTGCCAATCTTGGAGGAATACTTTTCATTTCGATGGTGCAAAGCGAAGCCCGAAGCGGCTGACGGCCAGTGCTAATCTGTCCAGCCCGGCTTGGCACATCTGGGAGCTGTCACAGATGAGGCGAATGTCGTCTGCATACTCCAAGTCAAGAAGTCGTTCTCCTCGGAGTAGTTCCCCACCTTCCAAGTCATGTCCTGTAAATGCAATCTCCATGACTTCGTCAATAGCGAAATTGAAGAGGAAAGGTGACAGCGAGCATTCTTGTCTCACAGCGCTGGTGATATTGAAGGGTGGCGACAGCTTACAGTAAGCCCTCACTCTGCCCGTGCTACGCAAATATAATGCTTGAATAATATTTACATATTTCTCGGGCACACCTTTCCTGAGTGTACAATTCCAAACGGCACATCGATCAACTGAATCGAAGGCACCTTTGGTGTTGAGAAACACAACTACGGTGGGCCGCCACTATGTGTGACCGTGCTCCAACAACTGACGCAGGCTGAAGATGTGGTCGATGCAGCCACGACCCCGACTAAACCCGGCTTGCTCCTCACCAATCTGGCTTTCACGAGCGCCAGTCAGTCTGTGAAGAATTATGGAGGCGAGCAATTTGTAGGCCATGGAGATCAGACTGACTCCTCTATGCTTGCCGCGTTCCGAACGCGAGCCTCGTTTGAAGATGGGAACAATAACGGAGCGGCTTCAGTCGGTTGGGACAGTCTCCTGCTCCCACAGTTTTAATAATAATTCATGTAAAGCGTCAACAAGAGTAGAGCCCCCGAATTTGAAGAGTTCTGGAGGAAGATAATCTGGTCCTGCGGCTTTGTTCAACTTCAACAGTCCGATCTCACGTTTGACTTCTGATCGAAGGTGGATCCAAAGGGACAGCCCACGGTGCAGGGCGATCACTGGCTGACGAAGAATCGAACAATTCTAGCCGATTAAATTGCTTTTCAAAATGCTCAGCCCAACGCTCCAGACGTTTGGACAAATTGTAGATAGGCTGTCCACTTTCGTAACGTATAGCTTCACTAAC